CAGAATTTAATTCTAGGCCCACAAGCAAACACAGGCCAGAATTTAATTCTAGGCCCACAAGCAAACACAGGCCAGAATTTAATTCTAGGCCCACAAGCAAACACAGGCCAGAATTTAATTCTAGGCCCACAAGCAAACACAGGCCAGAATTTAATTCTAGGCCCACAAGCAAACACAGGCCAGAATTTAATTCTAGGCCCACAAGCACACACAGGCCAGAATATGACCCTTAGTTCATAAGCTAGTACAGGTCATAATTTGACCCTAGGCCCACAACCTAGAACCGGCAACATAGAGTGACGTCATGTTTCCAGTTGTCAAAGATTTATTTCTCTCGGTGGATCGTGACGTCACGCAATGGAGCAGATGGTAGACGACGACACAGCGTGGATAACACACTTTCCCGCCTCATCCAATCAGACATCAGGACATTGTCCTCGTCCTGTTAGCGTCCTGTTACATTCAGTTACAGCAACTGGTATTCTATTACCTCAGTTAAACCATTCTATTACATCAGTTAAACCATTCTAGATAAACCATTCTATTACCTCAGTTAAACCATTCTATTACCTCAGTTAAACCATTCTATTACATCAGTTAAACCATTCTATTACCTGAGTTAAACCATTCTATTACATCAGTTAAACCATTCTATTACCTCAGTTAAACCATTCTATTACATCAGTTAAACCATTCTATTACATCAGTTAAACCATTCTATTACCTCAGTTAAACCATTATATTACCTCAGTTAAACCATTCTATTACCTCAGTTAAACCATTCTATTACCTCAGTTAAACCATTCTATTACCTCATGTATTGTTGTCTGACACAAATACTTCTTAATGCCTCAGCCCCCTAATGCCACACCCCCTATCATCTTCTGTGTGTCACCACTACCAACTTTTGTGCGTCACCACTACCAACTTCTGTGTGTCACCACTACCAACTTCTGTGTGTCACCCTACGCCCTGCTCTGTGTCACCAAAATCTGCATGAGTCACCACGTATTTCCTCAGCTCTCACTGTTAATTTGTGTGATTGACTGCCTCACAAGATGTCTGGAATAAATGTTTAGCAAACACATTGATCAGCTGTGCTTAATTACATCTAATTACATCTAATTACATCTAATATTACATCTAATATTACATCTAATAATATTATATCTAATATTACATCCAATTACATATAATATTACATTTAATTACATCTAATATTACATCTCATATTTCATATAATTACATCTAATATTACATCTAATAATATTACATCTAATATTACATCTAATTACAACTTATTACATCTAATTACATTGCTACTAATTAAATAAAACAACGAGTAAGAGACAGCAATTGGTTGGGCTATGGTCAGCCCACACAAATAATTGGGGGTGAGAAATTGTTTTCAAAATGTTTACATAGGTCACGTGATTGTGTGCTCAAGTCTAGAGAAAACACAAAAAATGGGGAGAGGGTGGATGATTTAGGATAGACAATGTCTGAGTAAGTCAGTAATTTCTAAGGTCAGGATATTCATCGGTCGTCCACCCCTTCAGTTTTTTTTTAATTCAATTTTTTTGTTGTTGTTGTTAAAAGTTGGAACAAAAAAAATCTGCTGTTTGATGTGTGTTGAGGTGATGAAAGCTTTCATTAGAACGGTGAAGCTGGTTGCCGCATTAATTCATTGTCACTAATTGGAATTGATTTTTTAAAAGTCTACGTCTGTATTGCTTATATTTAATGAGTACGTTTCGCTACATTTACTATTGATTTGGATTTTTATCTTATGCCCGATATGGCATCAATCGTATGCCCGTTGTGGGCATCTATCGTATGCCCGGTAACGGACCTAATTCGATGGATTCTATTCATGTTTCTAGTGAGTCCGTCACTAATGGCAACACCGAGCCGCCATTTTCTGGTGAGTGATGTCATTCTTCTAGAACTGGGCCATTTTCTGGTGAGTGATGTCATTCTTCTAGAACTGGGCCATTTTCTGGTGAGTGATGTCATTCTTCTAGAACTGGGCCATTTTCTGGTGAGTGATGTCATTCTTCTAGAACTGGGCCATAATTTAACCTCAGTGATGGTCGGGAAGTGGCGTGATGTGTGTGTGGGGAGTGTGTATGGTGTGTGTTTGTTGTGTATGTATGGTGTGTGTGTTTGTGTGTATAGTGTGTATAGTGTGTGGTGTGTGTGTCAGTTTGTGTGCATGGTGTGTTTGGTGTGTATATGTGTGTGTGTGTTGTGGTATGTGTGTCTGTTTGTGTGTGGTGTGTGTGTGGAGTGTGTGTGTTGTGTGTGTGGAGTATATGTGGTGTGTGTGTATGTTGTATGTGTAGAGTATATGTAGTGTGTATGTATGTTGTGTGTGTGGTGTGTAGGTGTGTGTGTGGTGTGTGGTGTGTGTCAGTTTGTGTGTTGTGTGTGTGATGTGTGGTGTGTGTGTCTGTTTGTGTGTGGTGTGTGTATGTTGTGTGTGTGGTGTGTTTGTGTGGTGTGTGTGTGGTGTGTGGTATGTGTGTATGTTGTGTGTGTGGTGTGTGGTGTGTGTGTGTCTGTGTGTGTGGTGTGTGTGGTGTGTGGTGTGTGTGAGCTGAGTTCACTGACACCGTTAGCAAGTGACAATAAATTTAACTACTTAGCAGCGTTTAGTCACTTTAATACAGCGTTTAGTCACTTTAATGCAGCGTTTAGTCACTTTAATGCAGCGTTTAGTCAATCTAAAGTCATATTTTTACACGTATTCCGTCCCCAACATTATTCACATTCCTAGATCATTAACTGTCCAATGACCCCTATTAGATCAGTTAGCTGACCCTTATTAGATCATTTAGCTGACCCCTAGCAGATCATTTAGCTGACCCCTATTAGATCATTTAGCTGACCCCTATAAGATCGTTTAGCTGACCCCTGTTAGATCATTTAGCTGACCCCTATAAGATCATTTAGCTGACCCCTGTTAGATCATTTAGCTGACCCCTATAAGATCCTTTAGCTGACCCCTATTAGATCATATAGCTGACCCCTGTTAGATCATTTTGCTGACCCTTGTTAGACTAGTTAGCTGACCCCTATTAGATCATTTAGCTGACCCCTATTAGATCATTTAGCTGACCACTAGCAGATCATTTAGCTGCCCCCCTATAAGATCATTTAGCTGACCCCCTATAAGATCATTTAGCTGACCCCTAGCAGATCATTTAGCTGACCCCCTATTAGACCAGTTAGCTGATCCCTGTTAGATCATTTAGCTGACTCTTATTAGATCATTTAGCTGACCCCTATAAGATCATTTAGCTGACCCCTGTTAGATCATTTAGCTGACCCCTAGCAGATCATTTAGCTGACCCCCTATTAGACCAGTTAGCTGATCCCTGTTAGATCATTTAGCTGACCCCTGTTAGATCATTTTGCTGACCCCTAGCAGATCCTATAGCTGACCCCTATTAGATCATTTAGCTGACCCTGTTAGATCATTTAGCTGACCCCTAGCAGATCATTTAGCTGACCCCTAGCAGATCATTTAGCTGCCCCCCTAGCAGATCATTTAGCTGACCCCTAGCAGATCATTTAGCTGACCCCTAGCAGATCATTTAGCTGACCCCTAGCAGATCAGTTAGCTGACCCCTATTAGATCAGTTAGCTGACCCCTATTAGATCCTTTAGCTGACCCCTGTTAGATCATTTAGCTGACCCCTAGCAGATCATTTAGCTGACCCCTAGCAGATCATTTAGCTGACCCCCTATAAGATCATTTAGCTGACCCCTATTAGATCATTTAGCTGACCCCTAGCAGATCATTTAGCTGACCCCCTATAAGATCATTTAGCTGACCCCTATTACGTCATTTAGCAGACCCCTATTAGATCATTAAGCTGACCCCTAGCAGATCATTTAGCTGACCCCCTATAAGATCATTTAGCTGACCCCTATTACGTCATTTAGCAGACCCCTATTAGATCATTTAGCTGACCCCTATTAGATCATTTAGCTGACCCCTGTTAGATCATTTAGCTGACCCCTATTAGATCATTTAGCTGACCCCTGTTAGATCATTTAGCTGACCCCCTATAAGATCCTTTAGCTGACCCCCTATTAGATCATTTAGCTAACCCCCTATTATGTCGACCACATAAAATCTTAACTCGCGTCAAGCCACTTTACGACGCTGTTGGTCAAGATGTGACCGAATTGTTGGTCAAGATGTGACCAAATTGTTGGTCAAGATGTGACCAAATTGTTGGTCAAGATGTGACCGAGGTGTTGGTCAAGATGTGACCAAATTGTTGGTCAAGATGTGACTAAATTGTTGGTCAAGATGTGACCGAATTGTTGGTCAAGATGTGACCAAATTGTTGGTCATGATGTGACTAAATTGTTGGTCAAGATGTGACAAAATTGTTGGTCAAGATGTGACTAAATTGTTGGTCAAGATGTGACTTAATTGTTGGTCAAGATGTGTTTAAATTGTTGGTCAAGATGTGACTAAATTGTTGGTCAAGATGTGACTAAATTGTTGGTCAAGATGTGATTAAATTGTTGGTCAAGATGTGACCGAGGTGTTGACCGAATTGTTGACTGCCTTAAACAACACACACCCGTGGTGTGCCACAGACGGGCGAGATGACAGCACGGCGAGATGACAGCACGGCGAGATGACAGCACGGCGAGATGACAGCACGGCGAGATGACAGAACGGCGAGATGACAGCACGGCGAGATGACAGCACGGCGAGATGTTATCACGGCGAGATGACAGCACGGCGAGATGACAGTACGGCAAGATGACAGCACGGCGAGATGACAGCACGGCGAGATGACAGCACGGCGAGATGACAGTACAGCATTATTTTTCGTCCCCTTCTATTCTCGTACTGCGCTTAATCTTCGTGCTGTCGCCTCCACTAGGTCCATCAGCCGCCAACTGTTGCCGCAGGAGACGCGAGCTGGCTGCTGATGTGTTCCGGTCCTCTCACTACCACCAGTCGGGTCTAGTTGACATAGTCCAACTTGTGTTTAACTTGTGTTCAACTTGTGTTCAACTTGTGTTCAAAGAGTGTTCAAGTTGTGTTCAACTTGTGTTCAAAGAGTGTTCAAGTTGTGTTCAACTTGTGTTCAAAGAGTGTTCAAAGAGTGTTTAAAGTGTGTTCATCACCTGTGTTTAAAGTGTGTTTATCAAGGTGTGCTCTAAGTGTGTACTAAATCGTCATCAAGGTGTGTTCCGACGTGTGTTAAGGTTTCTGAGAACCAGCGGGTATTAAGCTATTGGCACGTGCGATCTTGGAGGATTAGCTAATCGCATTAGTGGCTCACACTGACGTCACTGAGATGGAATAGGATTCTCTTGGACACTTGAGAAGTCAGATTCAACATTTTGTAACCAGTCATATGACTTAAGAACATTTTGTAACCAGTCATATGACTTAAGAACATTTTGTAACCAGTCATATGACTTAAGAACATTTTGTAACCAGTCATATGACTTAAGAACATTTTGTAACCAGTCATATGACTTAAGAACATTTTGTAATCAGTCATATGACTTAAGAACATTTTGTAACCAGTTATATGACTTAAGAAATGGGAAACCGAACAAGTCATGACGCCGCTTATGATGACGCCGATGACGCCGCTGAAAGTTCTCTGTAAATGAGCCGAGGGTCAGCCGTCCTGATTTGATCTCTTGTCCAGGGGTCACTTCGACCTGCCAGACAACACAGCAGTGATGACGTCAGTTTGATCTGACTCGCGACCAATGACGTCAGAGAGTTGACACACTATGGCTGTCTAAGGCAATCAAGATCAGGATACACCCCGTGATACCGACCCCACTAGAGACTGACCAGAATACAACTACGTAGCTGCTTACATCTTTAAACCTAACCTTTGACCTTTGGCAAGCGTGTGTTGCTCGAAGCGTGGCGGTGTGAGATGAAACAAAGATTGAAATAGAAATAAAAGACCAAAATGAGGATTTTGGTATTTGGCCTTGTTTTTGCCATGGTGGCAGCTCTGTCGTCCTGGCAAGGGGACATAACTGAACAAAACCGATATGACGACTACGGCCGGGCCATCGAGCCCAAGAGCGAGGATTACGTGAACGGCCCAGATGTCAATGACCAATACCGCTGTATCAATATGGCTGACATCAAAAACAGGCAGAGCAAAAATTTTCCCACGGCGAAAATTCCACCGTACAAAAATTCAGACGAGCGTTGCATCATCACCATCGAGAACCGCACCAGCTGTAGTCAGACAAGAAACATCAACGTCACCAAACCCACGCTCATCAACGTCACCGTGGAGACATGCTGCATCACCATGTGCACTCACCTGACGCAGGTGGTGGTGCCTGACGACAACCACATCCTGCTCAACTTCCTGCACTTCAAGGTGCCTGGGCTGAACCTGCTCCGCAGTGAGGCGCTGGGAGAGTGCGATGAGTCACTGCAGGTCTCGGTCGAGGCCGTGCCCAAAAACGGCGCCCACGCGCCCAAGACGCACCGGTTCGGCACCTTTTGTGGCATCAAGCAACCAACGGCCATCTTTGTTGAGTACAGCAAGGTCAACCTGAGCCTGCACATGCTGGACAACAAGCAGTGCGTGGACAAGATCAGCTACGTGGTGCAGGTCTCGCCCTGTCTCAGGACCCAGTACGACAACTGCTCCTCCCCCAAGTACATCGACCTGACCAACAAGGACCGGGGCTACATCTCCTCCCCGGGGCTGAGAGACAAGCAGAACTACCCCAACGATCTCAACTGTACTTGGACCATCACTGTTCCCACCGACAAACTCATCCGGCTTAATGCCGAGATTATCCGGCTTAGACCAGGTGACGTCATTAAAATTACGCTATCTGGCCATTATGAGGCCCGGTTCCCCAGGGAACTCTACTTCACCGACCTCAACTTCACCCAGCCCGTCATTCTCCCGACACACGAGTGCCAGATGTCTTTCTTCTCCGACAGCATTGAGTCGGGGGTGGGGTTCAACATCTCCTACACGTCGGTTTCCCCCAGCAGGTTCATCCCGATGTTTGACAACAGTTCCTACGATTGCTCCAACCTTTCCGTCCCCTTCTCCATGAAATGCAACTTTTACGACGACTGTGCGCGGGGGGAGGACGAAGCTGAGTGTGGCTACAAAGACTCCGGGTGTTGGCCGGACGGCTACGTGCACGGACAACACTGTTACCATGTCGTTCGCAACCAGGAGATGTCGTGGTTGATGGCTGAGCAGTACTGCGAGCAACAGTTTGGGGCTCACCTCGTCACCATCAATACGAAAGTTGAGAGAAGCTTCATTGACAAGCTACGCACGTTTCTTGGTAATATTATGGCGGTTACATTTTTAGGGCTTAAGCGCATGCGTATTCAGCAAGTGGGTCAGATCTACAGGCGGATGTGGCAGTGGACGGACGGCACCACAGCCTATTACCTGCCGGACGAGTACCGTTACGAAGGTTGGTCGACATGCGCACTCCTACACTCTGATTATTTCCACTCGACAGACTGCGGCGCACTCAAACGAAATGTCTCCTTCATCTGTGAGAGGACAATGGTGGACCTGCCCACAGTCGAGTTGGACATCGTCAATCAAATGCCTGGAAACTCGCATCTACAGAGCAAACTAAAGCTATTCCATTGCCGTTCATCTCACGAATATATTTCTATAGAGCAGAGGTGTGACAAGGTCGACAACTGTTTTGATCGAACCGACGAAATGGACTGCAACTATGAGGAACTTGAGGCCACGATGTTTGCCTGTGAGACCTCGGGTCTGTTGGCCTACTCCTTCGTGTGTGACGGCATCGCTGGCTGCCGAGACTCCTCTGACGAAACACGATGTAAGAAACCGAAGAAAGCCGACGTAGGCCACACCTTGGCTGTGTGCACTGATGGCATGGTCCTAAAGCGGGACCTGCTCTGTGACGGGAGGGAGGACTGTCTAGACGCCTCAGACGAGGAGGACTGCAACGAGTGCGTGGCTGGCAGCACCCTCTGCCCCATGATCGCCTGCCTCCCCGAGAAATGGGCCGCGGACCAGGAGACCGACTGCCCGATCAGAGATCTAAAGGGCGGCAGGACGCCAGAGAGAGGGTTTACTGAAAACATCCACCCCTCCAAAGAACCCCCAGGGTCCGTGATACCAGATGGCTACGGTAAGTTTAATATCAGCAAGACCATGAGCAATCCGTGTCCACCCACCCACTTTCAATGTCGCGAAGGTTTCTGCATTCCAATTTACATGTGGTGTAACGGGTTCGCTGACTGCCCCCATAAAGAAGACGAGATCAGTGCTAACTGTAAGAAGGTGTGCCAAAACAATTACAAGTGTAAGCACTCAAGCGTGTGTGTAAGTCAGGAGCACATCTGTGACGGCCACTACCAGTGCCCCAAACACGACGACGAGCTGCTGTGTTCATTCCTGAACCAAACGTGTCCCGACAACTGCTCGTGTGTAAGGATGGAGTGGACGTGTAGATCCGCCCCAGTCCTACACGCGTCCATCCCGGTACCTGTACGCTACCTGCGGCTGGAACATGCCAACCTCACTTACCTGAAGTTGGATGGCATCGCCGAGTACAGCCTGATCTACCTGAACGTCTCGTCCTGCCAGGTGCAACACATTGGTGAAGACAACATGCGCTACCTGAATTTGAAGACATTCGACGCCAGTCACAACCAAATTTCGGAGCTCAGTAACGACACCTTCAAGCACTGTCCGGTCCTGCAGAAGCTGATACTGTCCCACAACCAGCTGATCAACCAAAACTTTTCCTTCCTCAACAGCACTCGCGAGTTGTGGATACTGGACATGTCCTACAACAGCCAGCAAGAACTGCTGAGCTGGAGCTTCACGAGCGCCGATAAGTTGCAGGAATTGATCCTAAGTTACATGGGCATAGAAATTATTAGAGAGAATGCTTTTGTAAACCTCACCTCTTTAAGACGTCTCGACCTAAAAGGAAACAATATTATTTATTTCTCGTCCACTATTTTCAAAGAGCTAAACAACCTGAGACATATATCAACAGACAACTATAGGCTGTGTTGTGATCACGTTAAGCCGAAAAATCAGCACGTCGACTGCAACGCTCCATACGACGAAATCTCATCGTGCGCGGACATTCTGAGAACTCTGCTCTTGCGTGCGGCGCTATGGATCATGGCCGTCCTGACGATAGTTGGCAACGTTAGTGTCATCGTTTACAGGATTTTCTTTGACCGGGGACTGAAGAACAGCTTCCGCATCATCATCACCTGCCTGAGCGCCTCAGACCTGATCATGGGCGTGTACCTGGTCATCATAGGGACGGCCGACGCCATGTACCGCGACAACTACCAGGACAAGGAGCGCGAGTGGACCAGTAGCGTCTCCTGTCAGGCCGCTGGCTTTCTCTGTCTGCTGTCCAGCGAGACTTCGGCCCTCTTCATCTTTCTCGTGACCCTAGACAGACTCCTGGCCATCGCCTTCCCCCTCCATCCACACTTTCACTTCAACGGCAAGTCGGCCGCTGTGGCGTGCCTGTTGGTGTGGCTGATCGGGTTGTTGATGGCGCTGGTGCCACTACTTCCGCCCTACCAGCACTGGCACCTCTACACACAGAAAGCCGTGGGCGTTCCCCTGCCCATAACACGCTCATACTTCCCGGGCTACGATTATGCCTTCGCCATTTTTATTCTCTTCAACATGATCGTATTTCTGCTGGTGGCCCTGGGGCAGCTCCTCATCTACCTGTCGGTCCACCTACAGAAACACCCCCAGATCTCCGAGGCGCGTGTGCGCCAGGACACAGCTATAGCCAAGCGTCTCGTGCTGGTAGTGCTCACAGACTGCCTCTGCTGGTTCCCAATAACAGTCATGGGTCTGGCAGCACGGTCCGGCCTGCCGGTGCCCGGGGAAATGTACGTCATAGCCACAGTCTTTCTTCTGCCGGCAAACTCTGCCTTCAACCCCTTCCTCTACACGGCAAACGCCATCCTGTTAGCGCGGCGCATGCGCAGAAAAAAGAAACAAGCTCTGGAGGCGGAGTTTGGATTATGCCAGTTGTCCAGATGAAGCAGAGTGAGTAGAGTGAGGCTAGTTTACTAACGATTAGTTTATACGACACACGTCCATCTCCAGCCCATTGAATGCTCGCATTATTTTAAGTAAAGATCTGGCACAAAAGTTCTATGCGGGTCGACGTCACGACACATGGGCGCACGTTAATATCACGACAAATTAGTTGACATCACGACAAATTAGTTGACATCACGACACATTAGTTTACATCACGACACATTAGTTGACATCACGACAAATTAGTTGACATCACGACAAATTAGTTGACATCACGACACATTAGTTTACATCACGACACATTAGTTTACATCACGACAAATTAGTTGACATCACGACAAATTAGTTTACATCACGACAAATTAGTTGACATCACGACAAATTGGTTGACATCACGATTCATTAGAGCACATTGACATCAATGAATAATAATGTAACTTTTAACACAGGGTTCTGTAATGACTGAATATTAAGACAATGAAACAAGTTTGGCATTTAACGTAGGATTCTGTTCAATTAAAATATAGGCTACACATTTAAGTTTGTAATCTAATAATATGCCAACGCTAACTTTGATGTGTAGAACTTAGAACCAAGCCAGCCTTTCCCCTCTAAGCGACCACAAATCTCGAGTTCCTTATAGCCCCCCACCCTCCCCCACCCTCCCCACACCCAAACATTAAAGAAAAAAAAAATCACAGGAAAAGAAAACGAAGAAAAAGCCATTTTTTTCTAGGAAAATAAAGCTGAGGTGATATCTTTAAACTTTCTCGAATATTCTTATATAACTCTATGAAGCAAATCGGGAAATAGACATTTTTAATTTCTTAAACTTTTAAAAATAGAACAGAATCTCTTAGAAAAAAAGAATAGCGCACCAAGTGAACGACAAACAATATGTATATCATAGTGCAGAATATTATTAGTACTTTATAAATTCAAGATAGCGTAAATTACTACTTCCGTTCAACGGAAATTACTCGGTTATCAAGTTATCGTGTCCACAGAAATACACAAACACACACATACACGCACACAGAAAGACATACGGACAGCATTGCGAAGACCATTTTTACCGACTTGGTTACGCGTAAAAGGCCGTAATTTTGATAAATCTGAATTTATAACTTTTTGTCCGGTTAAAATAAGTCCCCTATACTCTGTATATATTGAAGTACTGAGGTGTAAAACGATGAAAACTCTCAAAATTTGTTGTAATTTTTGTGCACGATTACAATACTTCATTTATACTCTGTATACAAGAAAGTAAAAAAGTCACAAAGGAGTAGTTTTATCTGAAAAAAATCACAGAAATAGTCATTTTAAAAAGTCATAAAAATGTTTATGAAATATTTTGATTGAGTTGTTAATAATTGTAAAGATGTGGGTGATTATAATGTAGATGGGTTTTTTCGTATCATGTTTATAAAGAAATTTAGGCACATCATTGTGTTTTGTGATTGTTTTGTACCCTAGGCATTTGTCGGCTTCTTCTCAATCTGCCTTGACACTTGCCCAAACTGGACAAATTTCCCAATGGACACTTTTCCGAATTGGACAAAATGCCCGAATGGACCCTTGCCCGAATTGGACAAAATGCCCGATTTGACACTTGCCTGTATTGGACAAAATGCCCAAATGGACCCTTGCCCAAATTGGACAAAATGCCTGAATGGACCCTTGCCCAAACTGGACAAAATGCTCGATTTGACACTTGCCCTAATTAGACCAATGCCCGAATGGACACTTGCCCGAATTGGACAAAATGCCCGAATGGACACTTGCCCGAATTGGGCAAAATGGCCGATTGGACACTTGCCCTAATTAGACCAATGCCCGATTGGACACTTGCCCAAATTGGACAAAATGCCCGATTGGACACTTGCCCGAATTGGACAAAATGCCTGAATGGACCCTTGCCCAAATTGGACAAAATGCCCGATTGGACCCTTGCCCAAAGACTGCTGCTCTCATAGCTCACCACTCCCCTCCCCACTCCCCTCCCCACTCCCCATCCACACTGCCCTCCCCTCATCCACACTGGATACAATGTTTAGTCAGTTGTTTCGATAATAGCCACAACAATATATTGAGTCGTTATCTCTATTACAATATACTAGTGGTAACAATTTTCAAACGGATGTATTGGACAGATCTGGAATTCGAGCCTAAAAATGTTACATTTTATTCAATGTCTGATCAATTCGATTATCGGCTCTTTAAGTCATCTATTTGATTTGCAATATTTAGTTTAGCAAGGAGTATAGCAGAACGCGTTTTGTTATTTCACATTTTAACAAAAAAATTATTTTAGAAGTCTAGCTAAGTAACTCTACTGAAAGAAAATAATTAAAAAAATATATATTTTACAGTAACAAAAAAATAAAAATCAGGTTTTAAATTGTAACATTAGTCTCTAAAATGACGCTACTTTTGAAAAATAAATCCATATCTTATTGCAAAAAAATAATAAATAAATCAGGTTTAAAATTGTAAACTACTAAAACTCAAGTTTGTTTACATGTTTGAATATTTATTTGTTTGTTTAACGATGGTAAAAAAATAATTCAATCGGTTTTTTATTTGTTTCTTGCAATCTAAATGAATGAAGAATGTCATAACCATACGCTATATTCCATCTAAATTTAAAAATACCCGTATGAGATTTTCACTCCTATGAAAATATACGGTTGTTCTTTAGTCGACATAATTTCCAAAGCTCTACAATGCACACACCAGGTGTCATCGTTTCATGTCAAACAATCTATCTTCTATCTCTATACTACTAAAACTCAACTTTGTTTACATGTTTGAATATTTATTTGTTTGTCTGATTGGCTACTGGAGAGAATCTGCGCTAGGTGGAGAGCTGTAAAATAGTATGTAGGTAGAGAACAATTTTCGTTTTCAGACAGACTGTTAATCACAAACTTATTTAAAGACGTTAATTAATTTATTGATTTATTCATTGGTAGATTAACCACATTAATTTTAAAAGTTTAGAAAAACGACTTTACTTTGACGAAATAGTGACGTCACATGATTTGTTTACTATTTACATCAATAATGGCGGCTTCTATCGAAGAAGATTGTGTTCCCATTCCAATGTTTAACGCGATCTAAAGCTAATTTTCTGTCGGCTATAACTTTAACAACACGTCCGTTTGCTGTTTTTATTACGTTCCAACACTTATATCAATTTTCAACTGTCTTTTTCATTTAGTTGTACAGTAAATTTCTCTAGCTCTACAATCTGTCCAAGGAAGTTATTTATAGATCTACATCTAGAATCTAGGTCAAACCAAAGATTTATTAGTTAAAAATACAATTAAAAAAATAGACTTAAGCAAACCAGTCGTAGCTGTAGAATATAGATAATTCTATCTAGATTTAGATAATAATGAGTTTCTATATTGTAAACTATTTTAGATCTTTATTATTTTATATAAATCTTTGTTTGCTTAGCTATGGAATATGCTAATTTGGAAATGCTCGATCTAGGGCCTATTTGCATAACTTAAGATTCATACGCTGCTCCTATACCGCTAATTTTGCAAAATTATAGACTTAACGTAAATTCTAGATCTAGCTCAGTCGTAGATCTAGAATATAGATAATTTTAATTAGATTTTGATAATAATGAGTTTCTATATGTAAGGGGGGGGGGGGTTCTTTTTTTTAACCGATAAAAGAGAGACCTATGGAAAGATGGTAATTATCCATTATTCTCTCAAATCCGTGCACCTTTGTGTGGTGACAAAGGGGTCTAATAGACCTGAGCGAAACTAATTTACATCTATACAACACCAATATTAAACTAAAGATAAAACATGGTGAACACACATAATATGCATTTATATATCTTTGTGACGTCAAATATATATATATATATATATATATATATATATATATATATATATATATATATATATATATATATATATATATATATATGTTGAAAGCAAAAAAACAAAAGAAACCATACACATAAGACCTGGCCAGTCTTTCATGTTCAGAGAAACATCTCTTGAATTCTTAATGCAAGTAAAAAATGACAAATAAATCAAACGTACATGTTTAGATACAATGAAAAAAATTCAAAGAGACAATGTCTGAATTTCGCATTCAAGATATCCTCCTTGAGAACCTGATACAAACACAATTACATCCTTTCATGAATTTACACGAGTGTTCTACACGATCTAGTTCGTCACACACAAAATGCAGGGCGATTCCCCTGCCACAAGGACAACATATCCGTCCTCTGGAACAAATATCTGGCCCCAGAACGAGACACCGGGCCATTGGAACAAAAGACATTGGGCTACTGGATCGAGACATCGGGCCATTGGAACGAAGAACATCTAAACTGCAGACGTTTGGCCACTGGTGCAACATTGGCAACATGTATAAACATAGGTTACATATGTAAATATCTGGAATGAAGCACATATGTACAGCAACAAAACATCGGCAGGGCCAATAAGCCAGCCTTAGTAGCCAGCCCTAAAGGCTGCCACCATCCGAGGCCTAGACCATAGTGTCTAGCCTATGTGTGTGTCCGAGATAGAGACCTCACACTATCCAACCTTCCTCTTTTATAGGCTGAATCCAACCAAAACTTTCCATCACCCAAAAAAACTGTTTGACCCGAACTGACCGTCGCGACCTTACGCTCGTAAATAAGGAGACGACCATTGGGGTGACAGGACATAAAATCGAAATACAAAGCATGCACACACCTAGGGTTCGGTCATGCCGCTCTCTGGCCACAGCCTACAACTGTGAACGCTATTAAATTAATAGGTGACCCCTTGTTAGACCCCCGCGCCGTGACAACCGGGCGCCGTCCTGTTGATTAGGGGTGGGGGAAACATTACCCCCATCCAGCTACGACCAACATTGAATACAACTACACAAAAAACAAGCAACCTGTGACAACTTTTTAAAAATAACAAGCCAATCATTGAGTACCAGCCAACATATATACTAAACTATTTTAG